CCCGGGTCAAACCCAATATCTGGTAAAGTGGCGGGGATATACCGACACCGAAAACTCGTGAGAGTTTGAGACGCCACTTCGGCAAGACTGCCCAGCCGCCGTGGTCTCTTTTGATCAGAAAGATCAAGACGCCCCGCGTCATCAGACGCCCCGCACTTCCCAGCAATAGCCAGGGTAGTAGAAGGGCTATGAGCTGAGCTCAAGCAGTGGCCCTGAGCTCTTGCGGTCGCAGATACAGAGCTTGCGGAAGCGTTAAGGTTTAACCCATACGTCGCAGAGCGATAATCCAAAGGAAGTCGACGGCGTGTCTTGAGTTTAGCAAACTCAAATCGGAGGTGTCGCTCCACATGCACGTCCACTTTCTTGTGGTTCAACTGTAAGTTATAAAGTTAGGAAAGTTTCCGGTGCCGTTGCACCCATCGCTCAAAGAGCGCTTTGTCATCTGTGGCGCTTTCGCCAGGGACGAGCACTACAGGTATTGTCCGCGTTGCGGGTACACGAGAGCCACCTCGTTGATCACTCAGACGAGGGCGATAAGCTTTCAACGGAAATTATTGTGGAACCAAGAAACGAGCTCGAGAAGCTTTCCGTTCGACGAGCTCATCGCCCATAATGGCCGGGGGCCCGATGATGTGGAGGCGGAACGGTCGAGATACCGCGTTCTTCGCTTCCACAGCGGGATCCGCCGGACGGAATCCATATTCCACACGAAGGTCAAAGACCGGCCGTGGATGGGCGCGCATTAGAGCCGCCTTCCAGGCAGCTTCCAGCTGCCGCCTCTGTGTCCCGTCGAGGTCATTGATGATTACACCATGTCCCTCAGGTGACGAGAAGTCAGGAAACGGACATGGGGTCCGCAAGGCGCAAGCAGGGCTCGTCTCACGCCGCTGGCGCGGCTCACCTATCTCGCCATTCCACGCCGGAAAATGAGTGTCAGACTCGTAGTCGACCACCTCCATACCCCCAACGAGGTCACTTGTCATTGATAGCGTGCGCGGAGCGCGACGCTCGTGCTCGTCGAGCCTAGGATGTACATCCCTCGATGCCGCGGACGCACTGTCCGACACTGCACCGCGTGCGGGAGACGAAGTTGGGCTCTGCCCGTGTTCGCTGTCAGAACCAGCAAGACTTGGGGACTTCAGTGTCGTTGGCTCAAGGCTCAGTGAGCACGGAAGTCGTTTTTGGTCCAACGAACCAAGTTGCAGTGTCTAGCGGACACGCAAGCCTCGTTGAGGCAATAATCGATTGGATCTGTAAATGTTCTCAATCTTAATGGGGGAGAGTGTAACGGAATTACACGTACCCTGGAAACAGGGGTGTGTGTCACACGAGATGGGCATGGTGTGACTGCACCCAAACAAGAATACGGTACGAGGCAAGGTAGCCAGTAGCTATGCATGTATTTAGATTTTACTGTATATATTTAGAAAAATCTAAACATTTAAAATTAGGCGGCTTTGCCGCAGATAAAAATAGATAAAGTCAGTTTTTTAATTTAAACGGAAGAGTTAATTAGCCTTGAATTAAGGCTGTAATTACTCTTGGATAAACAAGTTTCATTACACTTTTAGGGGGTTGCTTTCCTATTTACTGCTACCTATACTGTGGACTTGATATGTATTTGCAGCTCTTTTGTGGGGCCGAACTATCGGTCAAACTAGTATACTGCCAAGTCAAATGTAAACCTGGTATATTGACACGTTGTCCTGTATACTTGGGTGACTTGAGGCTCAGCGGTCAATAATTGGTTTGGGATCGGTTTGGTCCCTGGATCAATACCGGTCGCATTGAAATCTTGGTAAATCAAAACCCGACGGTTGTGATCCGAAATCTCGAGGTTTTCGAGTCTACCAAACCAAAAGTTGGGAAGCTTGGGGTAGTTGTCGCGTGGGCCTGGAGACATAATCAAGGAGCTGACATCTTCCTATCTACCTTTGGGAAGTCTGAATACGGTCAGGCTTGGAGTTTGACGGGTGGAACATGCCCACCCATGTATAATTCCGCATAAGCCGTTTCAAGGAGCCGAATAGGATCAATCCTTGTGTTCGAACGTTCCCGGTTGGCATTCTCGACTTGGTGTGTAGCTCTACTGAGTTGTCTTCAAGTTACCATCTCTGTCCACAAGATGCTTAGTCATTCGGTGTTGCTGGACTGGCATCATCCCCCATGTCTTGTATTAGCTGTTTAAGCTGAAGCAAGACGAGTGCAGAGTGACGGTGGCTTTTTGCTTGCAGTTCGTGTTGGTACGCTTGGAGGTGAAGCTTGAGTAGCGCTGCTTTTCGAGCTCGCGTGTTGGTATAATTCGATACTTGACCATGGAACTGAATCTCATTGCGATGCATCCATGCGCAGCGGGTTACAATGGCTCGCACAAAGTTCAATACCACAAAAAGAGTAAAGCCGTATTGTTCTTTGGCTTCCTGGGTAGGCAGGATTCTGGAGAAGTACACGAGTGTTCCTCAGGAAAGCTCGCTAACAAAACTTCTCTGGGAAGGCTAGGGAAAAGGGTCCCATAACCGTGAGGCAAAGGGGCAAAGCCAGAACAGGTGCTGGGGGGTCTTAAGGTGTTCACAGTCGAAATGGCAAGTTGTCTTGGCGTCTTGGATATGCTGGAATCGATAGCCTAGATACAAGGCGCTGTGTTGGAGTCGGAAAAAGAAAGTAGCATAGACTGGGAGGAGATGCTTGTTTCATCTATTTCCGCAAATCGGGTCCAGGGGCTTCCGAGATTCCTAATCGCTGTAATGGCAACGCAGGAGGCTTGGGTAATTCAAGTACGCTCCGGATCTTAGCAACTATGAGGCCCTCGACGGGTGCTCTATAATAACCCCAGTTATGGAAAGCACTTGCAAATACTTGGCTTAGACGAGGGCCGTGAGGTAAATGACGGAAAACCAGAAGCGTACTATCACAGTCTGCGAGAAAGTTCCTGCAATATCGTGTGTTATACGCTCTTGAGTCACCTGGACGTTGAATTGCTATGGCAGGCGACGCCGGTGTAGGTGTATTACCACAAAGACCGTAAATATCTTCTGCCGTATAGAGCTGGAATTGGGCGAGTCCCTGTACGAGTGCCGAGGGCTTTGTAGCTAATGTGCGATCCTGGCTTCCATGTCGTATTATGGCGTTGTGCAATAACGGCATGGACAACAAGTTGAACTCGCTTGTACTGGCTGGTTTCTTGGGTCTCAACTTCGTATGCCACACAAACAGCACCTGGTGCTAGAAGCTGGTTAGAGCAGACCAGCGATTTTCACGTCGAATATTGGCGTGGTTGGGTTTGGTAGTTACCGGAGCATATAGGATATCGAGGGGTCGGTCCCATGGCTTCATAGCCTGGTGAAGGACCTCAACAGCAGAGGACACCCAACTGGGAAGTGAGTGGTGGTG